CGTGCGCCCACTACCCCCCGCGCGTGCCCACTACTTTGCTCTCTCTCTCTCTCTCACTTGGCAAACTTTGGACTTCGGCTTTGCCAGAAGAAGAAGAAGACGAAGAAGAAGATAGTATGGAGAAGAAGAAGAAACAAAGAACAACAAAGGAAGACTTATCTTTACCAATAGAAGGCGGGCCAGGGCGATGGCGGCGGACGTGGGTGGGGCCGACCTCGTTCACTTTTGACGAAGTGTCGAAGTGACGGGTCCTGCTGCGCGAAAGCAGCTGGAGGCGGGAGGCGGGGTGGTGGGGGCTGTGCCTGGGGAAGGTTTGGATCGCCGCCCAGAACTTTGGGTGGTTTCCCGCCCGAAAGCTCAAAAACGGGCGGCCTATCTGGGACGCAGATCTCACCAGATCGACGGCCCAGATAGGCCGCCAGTTTCTCAACAATCTGGCGGGCCGGGAGGCCTCCACGACCTGCATGGAGGCCTCCCGTCCCCCAAAAAAATTGTAACCCCGCTCCCAGCGAATTGCGCAAATTGCAACCGGGGGGGAACCGGTGCTCTCCGGTGGGACCGGATATTCAGCCTTGTATATTAGGGTATTCCTACTGTTTTTCTCTTGCAGTGGCTCTTTTGCTGTGATACTTGTTGCTTCTGACCTTTCAACATTCGTGAGAGCTCTCACGTCTTGAGAGCTCTCACGTCTATACTTTTTTTCCGGTACCCTCTGCTTGACTCCAGGTTGGAAAAGGGCGAGATGTGGGCCTGAATCAGATATCTATGTTTGAGGCGAAGGTATCAGCTGGGAACTCAGAGCAGATGCTGAGTCGGGATGTGTACCGGCTGGGCCACATGTTCGACTTCTTCCGAATGCTGTCATTTTACTTCAACACTGTGGGTTTCTACATCAGCACCTTGGTAAGGTTCTCTTTGCTGACCCCTCCTGCCACCCCGTATTGCTATCCATCACCCCTGTTTGCTGTCATTCTGGTATTGGTCTGTGGGTTTCCACATCATCACTTCCATAAAATATGCAAACGCCGTGTCTGGTACCTGACCTCTATAACAACCTGGGCAGCTGCCACCACCCTTTATTTTTTTCACCGCTATTCCCTGGGATCACAAAGCAGCTTAACGAGCTGAATGGACGGAAACTCTAGATTGTTGGCAGCATTTGGCCCATTGTAACCGGGGAGCCGGACACAGGACACTTCTGAACTGTTTTCCGGACCAGTGTCTGGACCGGTCCGGACTGTCCGGTGATCTGGACATCACCGGACACTCGGACATTTCCGGACCAGTGTCAGGTGTTCAGAAATGTCCGGACCCAAAAAAAAAAAAAAGAGGGGAGGAGGGAAGGGGGGCGGTGGGGGTTGGCAGGCACTCCCCTGCTTTGCACTTCGTGGTTCATGCAGCAGAGCACCTGTCTTGCAGTGAATCAACAAGCACATTCAACTAGCAGACATGCAGAGTTCCTAACAGTGCAAAGCAGGCACATGACTGAAGAAACAGAGAAAACAACATCAAAAATACTTAAAAGATGTTTAATTAACTTCAGAGTTTTGACTTTAAAGAGTCTTCAGACTGGCAGCACTGTCAGTGCTCTTTCTCTCTCTCTCTCTCTCTCTCTCTCTCTCTCTCTCTCTCTCTCTCTCTCTCTCTCTCTCTCTCTCTCTCTC